GAGATCTACGCTGCGATGTCGTGAAGAAGCCGGCGGAGTAGAATCTACCCATTTGACTCAACATTCAATGGCACTTTCACAATGAATCAATTCGGTTTCGGTGCGAATGCAGCGCATGCGAAACACCACTTGCAACACTGCTTTCGCTGCGTTTCAGTAACGGTTGATAACTTCACAATCAGTGGAGCGGTGTCCAGCTGCATCGAATGAGCGCACCCACGCCGGTTTCACCACTGGTGGTTTTCTTCATGAATCGATCGTGAACCGATCGCAAACCGATCAATACAACTCTGGGTACGTGACAAGAATATTATAATTCGCCGCGCTGATGGGCGTCGCGTGCGACGTCGCGCCCGCACATGACGATGGTTCCAGGTCGTAGATGGCGACAATAGGCAATGTAGAATCGAGAATAGTCATAAAATCGACAGTTCCGTCGCCTCCGTGATATCCGGTGCTCCAATCAACAGGCTAAAGCAAGCTGAGAAAACTCCCACTGCGGCGCGCTGCGGAGCGGCAAACACGATTCTCTTGCCCGTCCTCGTACAACGCCTATCCACACACATTCCTGCGCTGGAGAAGATTCTGCAAGAAATGACTGTTTCCTCGTTTGGTACATTCCCTTCTTGCCCATCCTATCTATATCGTCCACCATCTTACCGAATGTTCCCAAAAGTTTCCGGTTCCAGCGGCACATGGCGCACGCAAAACGGTCAACAATTGACGAAAAATATTGCCGAAACGACCTCCTCTCTCCTTAAGTGAGCGACCGAATACGCCCCTCGTAAAGGTTCTCCGACACGCCCTGTCATGACAACTCCGGGAATAGCAGTCAGCCATATATCTCATTTGCAAGCAGGGCACATCGTTGTTGGGGAATCCCCAATAGGGGGGTCGTATTTGGTCGCCAGGAGGGGGGGGGTCGTATTTGGGCTGAGAAAAATTTATTTTGATAGTTGATTTTTCTCGCTTCATGGACGTTGTAAAGGGAGGGGGGGTCGTACCAACTCCCAAAAAGGGGGGGGGTCGTATAGAGTCGACTAAAATCCCCAAATAATGATGTGCCCTGTTTGCAGGTCGCCATTTTCCTATGGGTTCACCGTCGATGCCGCATCAATTTGCACTCACAACAAATTCATGTTTAACCCATACGATGCTGTAAGTTCTGTGAAATAGTTGGTGATTTCATGTGATGGCTAACACCTGGCTCAATGACGAGGACTGAGGAGCCAAATCGTCTGTCATCTCAGGTATGCATGATGATAGATGAGAGTCCTCTTTTTCATGAACACCATGGCAGTAACTTTTGCTCTCAAGACAATATTGATCACCATGAAAATGTTATTACGCTTTCAGGCCCGGATCAACAGGCCATTATTTCAAGACTGAAGTACAGGCTTCCCAGCTTCTGTTACGCTTGAAAGAAAATAATCAAAGTGAGAACTGGGCACTACTTGTCCTCTCATGCCTTCCTTTTCAGATTTCAATCTAGACTAGGACCAACAATATCCCTTAGTGGAAAGTTTGGCTAGGATTCTGTCCCCATGGGAGCACGGACTATTCCATTCCCTCTCAAATCTGGCCCAATTTCCAAGACAGTAGGCAGTGGAACTATTGTGAGACTGAAAAATATCCGAAAAATCGTAATGAAAATCCTTATTTCAGATCGTTGTGTTTAGAAGCTGCGCCAGTGAATAGGCGAATACTGAAGAAAAAAATGCCATGCAAAATCGAATGACGTGTTTTCGCATGCGTCCGCTATGAGCCACCGGGAGCTCACATTATTCCTCGTATCAGTTGTCAAATTTTGCAAAATGATAAGTCAATCGTGCAGAGACTGCTATTCCAATCCTTCACCCTACTTGTGCCATCTCAAGCTCCGCCCTCCGCGATCACGCCCGGCCCCCCCCCACGGCCCGCCGGCTCGCCGCCGCGCCGCCGGCCGCCCGCCGCCCCCCCCGCCCGGCCCCTCCGCCCGCCCGCGCAGCGCGCGCCCGCACCCCGCCCGCGCCCGGGCCCCTGCCGCGCGGCCCCCGCGCGCCCCCGCCGCCGCGCCGCGCCCGGCGCGCCCCGGGCCCCCCCGGCTCGGCCCCGGCGCCCCGGCCCCGGGCCGGTGTCGCCTGCCCGCCCGCCCGCTCCCGGCCGCCCCCGCCCGCGCCGCCCGCCCCGCCGCGGGCCCGCCCCCCCGGCCCCCGCCGGCGCGCGGCCCCGCGGGCGCCCGTGCCCGCGCGCCCCCGCAAGGCCCGCCCCCCGCCCTCCGCGATCACGCCCAATTTTTAGCGCGATCGTGATTTTCAAAATCTGTGCTGTAAATCTGTTTCGAGGGTTTTTTTTGGAATTTTCCGCTTACCACATTACAATGATTCACAGACGGCCTATACCGATACATAGCCGTTCCCGCCCACTTTTCAACAGGTTTGTTGTGTGTTTCGAATTTTCATACCTTATCTCACAAATAACCCAGGTATTCAAGCTTATACCCAACTCGGTGCCAAAAGATTGCTGGCGCCAAAGTGGCGCCCGCTGGCGCCAGGTGGCGCCAACACTGGAAGGCAACGATATTCGTGACAAGGATGTCAAATAACCTAGCTATGGAGGTTTCTATCGCATTCGGTGCCAAAAAACTGCTAGCGCCAAAAGGCGCCTACGACAAGTAAGATCTCACGTTCATGATCAAAGACCCGCGCAGTCCCTGCAGCCAAGGTTCCGTCCAAAAAGAACTATTTTGGAGGTTTCTGCCGCAGCAGTAGCTAGTTGAAAAATTTTCAATTTTTAATTCAAAATATCTCATGGAGGCAGCAACATTTTTCTTGCTCATCCCTGTTGGACATTCACCTTTCACAGGTTATTCGAAAGCAAGAAAAAGATCGATTGAGACTGAAAGCAATAGCCCGAAAAGTCGCAGTAGCAAATCTTGTGACGATTTTGTACAGAATAAAACTAAAAAAGTCCGTAACTTTGCAGGATTTGTAGGAGATCAAAAAACTGCCAGGTATTTTGACACAAATTATTTATGTATTTTGACACAAATTATTTATAATTCCCCACCCCTCTCCGCAGTTTCACCAAAGTTTCAAGTTCTAAGCCCTCAGTTCCCGACGAATAACCTTATGAATATGTTGCAAACGATTGACTTGTTTGAGTAGTAGCCGGGTAGAGACAAGCCGATACCGTAGTTACCGTATATGCAGTTACAGTAGCCCTACCGTACTAAAAATATGGAACCGATGTTTGAGTTCACGGGACTTCTGCTGACATTCCTATGTTA